ACGTGCTGGCCAAAAAACACTGTAAATACCGTGCTTTTTACTACCAGAGGCAAAAAACATCATAAATACCGTGGTTTTGGGCTTCCGACCCGCCAAAAACATCGGTATTTACGGTGTTTCTTGCTCCGAGAGTTGCAAAAACACGCGCAAACACCACCGATTTGACAATTTTCGGCCACTACGGAACCGAGCAAAAACGCTGCAGGGGTAACACCAACACCAACAACAACAACACCAACAGCAACAGCAACAGCAACAACAACAACGACGACGACGACGACGACAACAACAACAACAACGCACAACGCACAACGCACAACGCACAACGCACAATGCACAATGCACAATGCACAACGCACAATGCACAACGCACAACGCACAACGCACAACGCACAACACACAACACACAAAACACACAACACACACACACAACACACACAACACACACAACACACACAACAACACACAACAACACACAACAACACACACAACCACACACAACAACACACACACACAACAACACACAACAACACACCACAACACACAACAACACACAACAACACACGCAACACACAACAACACAACAACACAACAACAACACACAACAACACACAACAACACACAACAACACACACACAACAACACAAACAACACACAACAACACACCACAACACACCACAACACACACACACAACAACACACAACAACACACAACAACACACAACAACACACAACAACACACAACAACACACCACAACACACCACAACACACCACAACACACCACCACACACAACCACACACAACCACACACAACCACACACAACCACACACACAACCACACACAACCACACACAACCACACACAACCACACACAACAACACACAACAACACACAACAACACACAACAACACACAACAACACACAACAACACACAACAACACACAACAACACACAACAACACACACAACAACACACAACAACACACAACAACACACAACCACACAACAACACACAACAACACACAACAACACACAACAACACACAACAACACACAACAACACACAACAACACACAACAACACACAACAACACACCAACAACAACAACAACAACAACAACAACAACAACAACAACACCATCAACAGCAGCAGCAGCAACAACAGCAACAACAGCAACAACAACAGCAACAACAACAGCAACAACAACAACAACACGAACAGGAACAATACCAACACCAACAACACGACCAACAACACCAACACCACCAACAAAACCCAACCAACCACACCAACAACACTAACAACACTAACAACACCAGAAACACTACCACCACCAACAACACCAACAACAATACCAACAACACCAACAACACCAACACCATCAGCAGCACCAACACCACCAACACCACAACCACCACCAACCCTAACCACATCGCCGAAGCCTTTCAGTGGCTTTTACCAGACTCCCCTTCATATTTTTGGAAAGAAAATGGCCGCGTCGCTTTTACCAGAATCCACTTTATGTTTTTTTCCCTGCCCTTTCCCCTTCATTTTTTCTTCGGTTCCTTTCTTGCTTACCTACCTTTCGTGTTCCCCCTCTCAAGTAAACCATGTGCGAGGCACGCTATAGGCGGTTCGAAAAAAAGGTTATGATAGAAATATACAGGTAGACAAGGTCCGTTGACGAGGTCGTGGCTCTCAAGTGCTGCAAATAACGTAGAGATGCGAGGTTGGAGGGGTGGAAAGGGGAGTATATATGTGTATATGTGTATGTATATGTGCAAATAACATGCAAATACTAGGTTTTGGGGGGGTGGGGGGGGTTAGGAGTGGGGGGGGGGGGGGTGTGGGGGTCCGGGGACCGGGCTCATATATATATATATATACTATGGTCATATGATATACAGCCATCATACTATCATATCATCATCTTATATACCAACTATGGTCATATTACCGACTATGGCTGTTTTTTTTTTAAATATGTATATATATGTATATATATATATATATATTCCCATCTATGATCTATACCAACTATGGTTATAATGAGGTATAATGAGGATATAGTGATGAATGTGATCATCATTGGGATACGATGTGACTTTCTGGGCAAATAAAAAGCACGACCGAACCCTGTTCTCCCGAAGCCTGGAATCATGTTATTATTTTTTTTTTTAAGGGGGAATCATCCCACACAGACGCTAACAACACAGACCAAACCCTAACATTGCTCTGGAGAATGGGGCGGCACAGGCGGCACAGGCGTCCCCCGGTTTCAGAGCAAGAAGCAAAGGGAAGCGGCAGCCAAAAAACAAGAAAAACAAGAAAAACAAAAAGAACAAGAAAAAAAGCCAAGCAAAAGAAGACACAGGAAAAGACAAAAGAAGAAGATGAGAAACAGAAAGAAGAAAACCAACAGAAAGAAACACAACAGCAGATCGCAAAAACCAAGCGAAAGCGCCAGCAAAAGGAACGACAAGGCAAAACGCAGCAAAGCGCAGTACTGGGCCAAAGGTGACCGGGGCCTCTGAGGCGCGGGCGCCGACGGGTGCCGAGGGGAGCAGGGGATCTGCGAGGGATCTCAAAGTAAGATCTCTGTTCAAGCTCTCTTTTCAAGATCTCTGAGCAATACATCTGCTCTCTTCCCCAGGTCTCTGTACAAAATCTTCATAAGAGATCTCCTGGCAAGAACTCCGTGCAAGATCTCTAAAAAAACTCTGCTGACAAGATCTCTATATGAGATCTTTTGGCAAGATCCCTGAACAAGACATCCGTAAGAAGTCTTTTGACAAGATCACTGTACAAGTTCCTCTCTCTTTTAGCACGATTTCTAAATGAGCAATTTAAGTGCACATGAACACGTCAGGAGCGCTCTGGATGGAGAATTTACTGGAAAAAGGCCACGCCCCAGAAGTAATTGCGCATTTTATGCGAGCCTGCGCAGTCGAAATGCACGTGGAGATGTCACAAGAGCTGTTTTTTGCAGAAGTTGATAGAAAGTATTGCCGGAGAAAAAATCGCGTTCAATTTTATACCCCTCATTTCATCACGATTTGCTATGGAAATGTCTTGGATGTAACCAACAAACAAATCAGACTGTCATCAATCATAGGGTTACCCCAAAGACTTCGCAATCATACCGACCGGAGTTCAGTGCTTCCAGAGGTGGCTATCAAAAAAGGTGGCACCAAATGATTTTACTATATTTTGTAGTTTTCAAGTTACTTTGTGGTTACTTTAAAACTGTCAGTCTGGAACAATTTGGAATTGATGATCTACGAATTGTTCATGGATTTACCCAGAGTACTACAGTAGTTTTTTTTTTCTAAAATAGTTTGCTTAAACCTTCCATGATAGTACTCCTCCATTATTACAGTAATCTGTATAGTAAGATCGACAATATCCCTGCATGATATCCAATGATATCCTTACAATGTCCATAACATCCCTATGATTTCACTTCCTGGTGATATCCCCACAGGAAGGACTTTACAATGAATATATCTATAGTTAGATGGGGTGATAAACCCACATATATATATAATATGTATATATAATCATATATATATATACACCCTCTGAAATTATAGCTATGGAAATCACCATGTTTAATAGGTAAATAGCTACATTCGATTCCCAGAGGGTATAAACCAAACAAACATGCAAGGTTGGGGCCCCCCAAACACCCAAACACTAGGTTAGCTGGTTTATGTTCACCCCATTCACTTAGTAACCATAGAACTATTATTTATACCATAAACCTGGTTGGTGGTTTGGAACATTTTTTATTTTTCCATATATTGGGAAGAATCATCCCAACAGACTTTCATATTTTTCAGAGGGGTAGGTCAACCACCAACCAGATAAACCATAGGTAATTCACCTAGGCAAATAAAACAACTGAACTCAATAAGTCAACTCGTCAGCTTGCCCATGTTTGGCGGTAAAATCCACATGATTGTAGCCCTTTCTATTGGTTTGATAAGATCCAGTGAAATCACCAGTGGTTTATGGATTTTACCACGGTGTCCCAAGGTTTTGATTGGTTATATATATATATAATATATATATATACACCACCATGCTTATTTTTTAATCTTAAAATACCTATCACAGTATCCAAGTATCCAACTTTCTCCAGTATCCAAGGCCTTAAAATGCCAGGACCATTGCATCTTGGCTAATCCTCGGAGCAGTTGACGGGGATATCAGTAGCACTAATGATGGGATCATTGTGGTAATTTCATTGTGATAGTTGGTTAAGCAGCAACAATAAGGATTTATCTGGGTAAATTATAACGACCTCACTGCGACCTCACTGGAATCATGGTTCATAAGGGAAATCATCCCCAAATGGCCTTAATTCAGGTTAGTGAAATATTAGAATTTACTCAGATTTATGGTAATCTGGAATATAGTGGGATGTAATGGCTAAAGGTTATAAATGGGACAATTGTTGGGTTTGCTCCAACAAAACGAAATGTTTGCTGTTCATAGTCCGCGGCACTTGGAGATTATCCTGATCTGCTTAAATATGTCTCAATCCTCTCAAATCACACTTGTTTGTTTGTAGGATCCAATTTTCATATTTTCATGATTCAATCCCATTCAATCCCAAGTTGTGCTCGATTAAAAACATATTTCTGTTGCGTAGGTTACCCTCTGGTAATTTTGTTACATAGCTATGGAACATGGCCATAGAAATAGTTGATTTACCCATGAAAAATGGTGGCTTTCCATCGTTTTTTGTATGTTTACCAGAGGATATATCCCATGATCATCCCATGATTCACCAATGTTAAGCCATTGTTAAACCATAAAAGATCATCATTAAATCCACCATTTATAGTGGTTAAATTGGTTAAATCATGTTAAATCACCATTTTCCTATGGTTTTCCAACCAACAAATCACCATTAAATCCACCATTTATGGTAGCTGATGTCGAGTCAGGCGATCCCCTGGCAGCCGTTCGGCGTCCTGAGGTGCAGCTGTTCGGATGATTTGGGGTGAAGCGGCACTGGAGGACGGCGATGGATTCTGCGATGCTTTTTGGGATTGACGGATATAGTCACAAACATGAGATAACAATATGACACTATATATCACTCTATATCACTATATATATATACTGGTTGGTGGTTTGGAACATGAATTTTATTCCATATATTGGAAATGTCATCGTCCCAACTGATTAACTCATATTTTTCAGAGGGATTGAAGCCACCAACCAGTATATACAATAATATCTGGGTAAATGATAACGACCTCACTGTGACCTCACTATAATCATAGTTAGTAAGGGGAATCATGTCCAAATGGCCTTAATTCAGGTAAGTGAAATATTATAATTTATCCAGATAATATGTAATATGTACCGCATTACCCAATTTTCAAACACTACTTGAGCCTGGAAGATGAAGCCTTTGATGCTAAGGAACAAGAGGAAACGTGACTGATGTGGTACAGTAGAGCCAACAATAAACCATCCCTGATATCATAATTGGGTGGCAACTAGCATTTGATCAAATGGTAGGTTCCTGCCATTGGGTTTACCACATTAGTATTTAAGCAGGACATTACATTTTAACTGGTATTCATATCCGGAAGAACGACATGGGGAAATAAACTTGATAATATTGGAACTCCGACCAACACTTACATCATATATTTTGACATTGTTCTGTTTTTAAAGAATTAACGATGTGAGAACATCATTTACCAATTATATACTGTAATGGTTTAATGGTTCATGATTGGGCCACAATATTAGGACGAGAAACAAGATTTGAATGAACAACGACAGTAGCAGAAATATATTGAATTCAATCTTGAAAATAAAATGTGGTTAAAGCAATAATTAAGTACCCATGACTGGGAATGGTTTGCACCACCTATAAAAATGGTGAAATTGGGGTCTGACCTCGACAACGGAGCTACGGACCGGCTGGACGCAGCTGACCTTGTGGGGTCCAGTTGCAGGGTAATCCCGAATGATGGTGATTATAATGGGATATAACGAGGATATAATGGTGATTTTCCCATCAGGTTAGATATATATATATATATATCCCATGTAGATCCCATTATGATATAGATTGGTGATTATGATATAGATCCCATGATGGTGATTCATGTGATCATAGTGGGGATACGATGTTACTATCTGGGCAAATTATAACGACCGAAGCCTGGAATCATGATTAATAAGAGGAGTCATCCCAAAATGGTCTTATTTCAGGTTATACATATATAATATATACAGTGCAATTAACACACATATTATATAGTGGAATTACTATCATTTGCCCAGAGAGATGTTTTCCACTTGGGAAAAAACCTGAACTGGATTGGAATCCATAGGATTCATCCATGACTAGATTTATCCCAATATTTTATCGATTTCTTTCTAAGAATGCATGACTTTTTTACGGCCAAATACTTTAAACGGTTGGCACTGTTTTTTCAGTAGCCATTCCTGGCCAGCCATGTTTGATTACTGGAGGCTACGTGGTGACCTGCGGTCAGGGAAAATGGGCATGGTGCCAATGGACCCACAAAAATGGTCGCTTCCAAGCCTAGACATGTTCAGTATGATTCAGCCATCCGTTTGTTTGACAATGTTGAATGTTTTTGACCCGTAATCTACCAAGGTTAAGTATAAAGTCGACGATGAAAACCTTACCCAGCAGCCAGGAGATCGACTTTCACTTCTGTTTGATCGCCTCTGGTTGCAACTTTAATCAGTGCCTCGAACTGGGATAGCAGTTGTGATTTTTATGATGGCATTTTTATGCATTTTTGGTGGGAAATCTGGTCGAAGCTTTCAACAAGCTGATGTTTGCTGCTGATCCCATCCTTGCTTCGGAGATCAGCCATCAGGTGACGGGCCGATTTTTCCCGATGCCCAAAAGATGACACAAGAAATTACACAAGTTTTTGGGGCTCTGGACCAGAGAAAGCCTATTTCAGATTGGTTTAAATTTTTGACAGGAAATATGTCCTGGACTTCAGTTGCCAAGATTCTTGCGATGAGAATCCACAATGCCCCTTTTGTTGTTTGAAAATGAGGAACCGCAAGATCCCACGATTAATGCCTAATTTTTCTTACCATAACTAACCACAACTCTTGGGTAAACTCACCATTTTTTTGACAAACCCATCTATCATATCAAGTTTCTTATTCTAAGCCGTGATTGCGCATTATCATTGGGAAAACACTCTCATTACCCATGTGAAGTCACTCATCGTTCCCTCGCGCATTTCAATCATAAATCGTTCTCACCAGAGGAATCGTTCTCATGTAAAAAAACATAGACATTTACAACTGTATTGCGCGAAAAAAAATGAGAAGACACATTTTGAGAAAAATGGGTAAGGCTGGATTTTGACGTGTTAAAAATCAAATCGTTCGTCTTACACACGTCGTTCTTCTTGAACAGATTTGCTCAAAGTGAATACCCTACTACATCATGTGACATCATTGGTAACCCATGGTATCCTCAATGTTTATTGGTGGTGAAATCCCATTGGACAGTGTCACGGAAATCGCATCATGTCATACCAAGTTGCTAAAACACATCCGATGAAATCCGACGAAATATGATGAGATCATGTTAAATACCCAGAAAATCCCAGAGAAACATCATATTATGACCCACATTCATGAAACTCCCGTCATTGTCCCACATTCAAAAAACCTTTAAAAAACACACCTTTGTCTGACTTGTGGATGCTTCGGATCCCCATGTCTGTGAAAACTTGGATGGTTGACCCCCAAAAATGGGGGATGGTCATCAATCCACTAATAGAGGTTGATATACCCACTATAATCTATCTATATCTATCTATATATAATCTACTATTATATATAAGGAATCATGTTTATAGTAATGGAAGATCATGTATATTATAAAATATGACCCATGTTTATAATAAGCTGGGATATACCCTTAAAAAATCCCATAGAATGGCTATAATCCATCAATCCATTCGTGGCGGGATGACGAGGGACCCCGGAAAGGTGTAGCCATGTAACGAACGACCACTGCACAGTTGTATCCTGCTCATCTAACAGTTTGCGAACTGGAAAATGGCCATGCTTTGAATGGGTAAATCAACTATTTCTATGGCAATTTCCAATAGCAAAGTGATTTATAGTTGATTTACCCATTCAAAGCATGGTGATTTTTCATAGTTCTGTAAATGTTTACCATGCCGGGTACATCCTAGGTTCTCGCGCTATGGTACATCGTGACTTGGCCATCGCATGCGATGCGCGATGCATCCTGAAGTTGTTGGTTTCGGAAGTTAAGTATGCAAATATTAACATGATGTAGCACCCCCCCAAACATCTTCAGTAGCAATTTGAATCACTACATATCACGACTATTTTAGTTGGATTTTGTTTCTTTAGACCGATTTCGATGGTTGTTGTAAGTGGCTACAACAGAGAATCCTCTTGGGGAGTTGATTTCATTTACGATCTTGCCAGTTCTTTTCTATTTGGTGGTTTAAAATATGTTTTCTGTTCAACCATAACAAGGTAAACTACATTAAATAAACCAGTTAAACAGAATTTTCCCAGAAACGCCCTGCTTTTGGGGTCGCCCCACACTATGCGTGAGGCTTTTTCCATCCCCATGAATGGCCCATGGATCAAGTTCACCGAGGCCATGGTTTCCGGTGATTCACCAAGTTGCACGCCAAGGGTACGCCGTGGTTGGGGATTTCAGATGGAGATTTTTGGAGGGGATGGAACTAGTGGAACTAGTGGAACTAGTGGAACTGGTGGAACTATGGAATATCAGACATCTTTCGGGACCTGTAGCAACAGAAAACTCTAGAAACTCAGGATCTACGTCCTAGGTTTGGGGATGAAGATGGACCCAGTTTAGGATTTTTTTGCACCGAGCATGTGGCTTTGAAGCAGTAGAAATTGGAACTTGAGCAAATCCTTTTTTGATCAGCAACATCTGGGATTCAAACGCATGGATTTTAGCCAGCAGATAGGGTTGATCAATGTAAATCACCAACTGAAAGTTGATTTGGACAGAATGAGGCTCTACTAAGACCGCAAAGCAAGAACGAAATATGAAGATCCTTGGGGCTCTCAAAGATTCTCAATAAGTCCCGCACGCTTTGGACGGTCAAGACTCATGGGACGTCGTTTTTGCCTGGAACATCAGGGAACATCATCAGGGATTCCCCTAAAAGTTGGTAGATTATAAATCCATCTGACTATGTAGATATGTGATATCTCACCAAAGCCCACTAAATCCCAGCAACACTCAGTTGTAAACTGTTGTAAAAGAACTTTGCGAAAGAAACAAAGCTCCTTTGACTTGCTTACCCCACTGAAATCTCTGAAATCACAAGGGATTTTTTCGCCACTTAGTAACGGTCGGCACACCGCTTGTGCCTCGGGTTTTTCCTCGCTTGTGCCTCGGGTTTTTCCTCGCTTGTGCCTCGGATGTAGTTCCTAATGGCTTCTATGTATGTGGCTTCTATGTACCTAGGATTGTTGCCTTCCAGGTGCGAGGGTGCGAAAGTTCACTCACTCTGTGGCTTCCATGCGTGGCTTCTAAGTGTCTTCTAATGTGGCTTCTAATTGTGGTTTCTATAATGGTGTCTAGCTCTGCGGCTGCCAATGTAGCTTCTAAGGATGGTTTCTATGTAGGTTTTCACTCTGCGCCGTCTAATATGGCTTTTCATAGTGGCTTCTCATTGTAACGGGTAAATGGCTTCTATAAGTATGCGGCTTGCAATGTGGCTTCTTTTAGTGGTTGCTCAATACGCGGCTACTAACCTGGCCTGCTATAGTGATCTCTAACAGCGCTGTCGAAGTGTCTTCTAAACCTGTGGCTTCTCCTTGTGGCTTCTAATTGCGGCCTGCAAAGCTGCGGCCTCCAATATTCCTTCCGATCCTGGCTTCTAAGTGGCTTCTAAATCTGCGGCTTCCAATAAGGCTTCGGAGTGTGGCTTCATAAGTGTCTTCTA